TGATCAGGTGAGGGCTGATTTTTTTTTTCATAGTTTATTGTCAAGTTGGTTTCCATATAACACCCAGCGCTCATCCCCAGGGCTGATTTTTTTTTTTTAAATATTTTATTTTTTGAGGGGCACCTGGGCGGCTCAGTCGGTTAAGCCTCTGAGCCACAAACCATCCGTGCTTTATTTTTTTTTAATGTTTATTTATTTATTTTGAGAGAGAGTGCGTGCGAGTGGTGGAGGGGCAGAGAGAGAGAATCCCAAGCAGGATGTGCTGTCGGCACAGAGCCCCATCCCATGAACCACAAGACCATGACCGAAGCCGAAATCAAGAGTCAGGTGCTGAACCGACTGAGCCACCCAGGTGACCCTCTCATTGGCTTTCCTGCAGTGAGTGTCCCTCAGGGAATTTGAGGAGCATCCTTGAAGCCTTGCTCAAGATTTCAGGTCCCAAGAGGGAGCAAGATGACCCGGCCCGTGGACCTGAGAGCTGGGCTTCAGGGCGGGAGAGCGGCAGAGACTCTCCCCACGGCTGTAGAGAGAGCCAGGCCCCCAGTGGCACTTTGACCGGTGCTCTTTCCCTCCTGAAGTCACCATTCTCCCCCCCTCTCCCGTGAGAACCCCGGTTTGGCTGGGTGTAAGCACGAGGCCAGACAAGAACGCTAGGCCCCCTGCAGTGAAGGGCCCCTCAGATCTGCTCTCTGGGGCTTCCAGGAAATCTAGTGGGTTCCTCCTAAAAAGGGACAGACCAGAGGCACATGCTTTCTTTTCTTTTTTTTAATGTTTTATTTATTTTTGAGAGAGAGATAGAGACAGCATGAGCAGGGGAGGGTCAGAGAGAGAGGGAGACACAGAACCTGAAGCAGCTCCAGTCTCTGAGCTGTCAGCACAGAGCCTGACGCAGGGGCTCGAACCCACGAACTGTGAGATCATGACCTGAGTTGAAATCGGATGCTTAACCGACTGAGCCACCCAGGCGCCCCAGAGGCACATGCTTTCTGACTACCCCTGCCCTGCCGACCGCCAAGACGGGGGACCTGGTACCCAGAGGGACACTAAGCATCTTTCAGGCATGTGGCCAAAAGTCCCATAATGAGGGAGGTAAGGCTGACGAGAGGCAGCCTGGGTCCCTAGTGACACTATGTGGCCACAAGGGCAGCCCTGGCCGCTGGCCTCCGGCCCTGTGCTTGTGGCGAAGTGTGATCCCCATCTGGGGAAGCCACGGGATTCTTCAGTTTCCGTTACACGCTGTTCCCGGCCGGCGGCAAGGGCGCATCTCAGGTACTGGCAAACCGGACACCCCACACATAGCAGCCTTCGTTCCTGAGGCCACTGTCGCTTGGCGAGGGTCCGCTGGGGCTCAGCAGGGAGCCTTCGTCAGCAGAGCGGAGACAGCCCCCCCTCCCTTCCCCCCGCCCCCCCCCCATGAAGGCATCTGCCAGGCTCCATGGGAGATGCTCTGAGACTCTAGTGTTTTGTTCTTGTTTGTTTAAACAGCTTTATTGACGTGTCCTCTGCAAGCCATAAAGTTCGTTTCCAATGGGCAATTTTATTATCTTCAGTACATTTACGTCGCTGTGCAACCATTGCCCAAATTCAGTTGTTGTTGTTTTTAAATTTTTTAATGTTTTGTTTATTTCTGAGAGAGAGATAGAGAGAGAGAGAGCAAGGGAGGGTCAGAGAGAGAGGGAGACACAGAACCCGAAGCAGGCTCCAGGCTCTGGGCTAGCTGTCAGCAGAGTCCAACGGGGGGCTTGAACCCACGAACCGTGAGATCATGACCTGAGCCGAAGTTGGACGCTCAACCGACTGAGCCACCCAGGAGTCCCTCAAATTCATTTTTAGACGATTTCTGTTGCTCTAAAGAGATCCCGTGTGTCCATAAGGAGTCACCCCTACCCCACACACACACCTCCTCTTACCCCCACCCTCCACACCCCTATGCCCATCCCCCTACTCCTACCCCTCCATCCCCACCCCGCACCCTCTGACCACCACTGATCTACTCCCTATCTCTATAGATTTCCCTGATCTGGACATTTTGCATAAAAGGAACCATACACTGTGTGGCCTTTTGTGTCTGGCTTTTGTCACTCAGCCTAATGTTTTCAAGATTCATCCACATTGTAGCATAGATCACTGCTTCACCTTCCCTTTTATGTATTAATACTATTCCACTGTATAAATACACCAGATTTGGTTTAGCCATTCGCCAATCAGTGGCCACTTGGGTTGTTTTCCCGTTTGGCTCCTGTGAATAACACCACTGTGAACATTTGGGCACATGCGTGTGGGCGTACATCACTTCTCTTGCGTAGATACCTGGGAGTAGATTTGTTGGGTCTTATGGTAAATTGATGTTTAACTTTTTAAGAAACTGCCAAACTGCTTTCCAAAGGGGCTGCACGATTCGACATTCCTCCTGGAGGAGGTACGGGAGAGTTCATTTGCTCTGAAACCTTGAAAGCTATTGGGTTTTGTTTGTTGTATTTATTACAGTTATTCTACTGGGTGTGAAATAGTATCTCATTGTGGTTTTGATCTGTGTTCCTCCAATGACTCATGTGTTGAGCATCTTTTCATGTGCTTATTGGCCATTTGTATGTCTTTGGTGCTTTGGTGAGATGTCTCTTTTTCAAAACTTTTACTCCTTTTAATTGGGTTATTTATCTTCCTAATATTGGGTTTGTCTTAACAAAAAAAAAACCCCACATTTTTTGAAGACTTTATTTTTCAGTAATCACTACCCAATGTGGGACCGGAACTCACAACCCCAAGGTCATGAGTCTGATGCTCCAGGGCACCTGAGTGGTTCAGTCGGTTGAGTTGCTGACTCTTGATTTCAGCTCAGGTCATGATCTCGGCTTAGGTCATGATCTTGCGTTCACGACTTTGAGCTTGGCATTACGCAGAGCCTGCTTGGGATTCTCCCTCTCCCTCTCTCTGGGCCCCTTGCTTGCTCACTCTCTCTCTCTTAAAATAAATGCACTTTAAAAAGAAAAATATCTTTTAAGCTTTTATTTATTATTTTGAGAGAGTGCGCGCATGTGTATGAGCAAGTGGGGGAGGGGCGGAAAGAGAGGGAGAGGATCCCAAGCAGGCTCTGCAAGGTCAGCACAGAGCCCATCATGGGGCTTGAACTCACAAAACCACAAGTTCATGACCTGAGCTGAAGTCAGATGCTTCACTGACTGAGCCACCCGGATCTTTTTAAGCAAGCTCTACCCCCAGTGGGGGCGCAGACTCACAACCCCAAGGTCAAGAGTTGCAAGCTCCAGGTGCCTGGGTGGCTCAGTCAGTTGGTTAAGCATTCCATTCTTGATTTCCATTCAGGACATGATCTCACCATTTCGGAGATCGAGCCTAACTCTGTGCTGACAGCATGGAGTCTGCTTCAGATTCTCTCTCTCTCCATCTCCCTGTGCCCCTCGCCAGCTCACACACTCTCTCTCTCTCTCTCTCTCTCAAAATACATAAATAAAACCTTAAAAAAAAGAAAAGAGTTGCATGCTCTACCGACAGCTAACCAGGTTCTGCCCCATTTTGTAGAAGATAAAGGCAAAGCCTCATCGGTTCTCCCTTCCTCCTCCACCATCTGTCTTGATGATAATTTCACGTGTGACTTTATACTTTTCCTATATCTGTGTGTGTCCAAAGTCTATGCGTAATGCGTGTTCTTGCTTTTAATCACACTTTATGTATCTTTCAGGACTTGTAATGTATTTCTTCACTGCACGTTATGTGTTGGCAACTTTTCTGTGTTAAGATATATAATCATTCATCCTTATTTTTTTTTCTTTTGAAATTATGACATTTGCAAGTAGTGAAGTATTTCAGAATTGTTGGTCTGTTGGCAGAAGCATGCCTGTGCTTTCCAGGAAAGCACGCATGAGTGATTTCACTGGGTTTGCTTGTTTCATTGTATCACCTCGCCACCACAGGAGGGCTCTGGGCCGACTGCAGAGAGCCCACTGCGACAGGGATATCATGACCTGAGCCCATGTGGAAGGCCTAACCCCTAACCAACAGTCATCCAGGCACCCCTGAAAACATAACACTTTCTAAAAATGTAACTTACTAAATCAAGAAATGCAGGTAGCATCTTGTTACCGGCACCATAGGGTTAAACTGGAAGAAATAAATGCAGAAAAGACCGAAAGTAGTTTGAGTAAGAGCAGGACTGAAGCTGGGGGGGGGGAGGTGGACTTCCGGTTTTCAGTGGCCCCCTTTCTGTGTTGCCGAAATCACCCCACCCCGCCCACGTACGTCTGCTATTCTTCTAACTAGAAGAAGGAAAGGTCATCAGGTCAGCGTGGCTGCTGGGCGGGGGGCGGGGGGGGGGGGTTAGGGCTCCTACTGAGCCCGAGGACGAGTTATTTTTCCCATCAGTTCCTGTGTCTATGGATGGATAATAATCATTCCTGGGATGACTCGGGGTCCAGCACCAATTCTATGCTCGTGTTGCGTTTACAAACGATGACAATGCTTATTGTCCTATTCATATGAATAAGTGAGCAGGTGTTAAAAAAAAAAAAAAAGTTGTTAGCACAGCCTGGCTCAAGCCCTGAGCTCCTTTTGAAGTCCCAAACCCCACAGCGAACACACCTCTGGAGCTCAGAAGTGCCAGCGCCACGTCAGGGGGAGGAGGGAGGGAGCCTGGCTGGCCCTCGGGGGCATTGGGAACGAGCCGAAAGAAGCAAGCTTTACACCTGCCGTGGCTTTGTGATCTCCCGCCCCCTAGAGGTGCGGCCCCCACTCAGGACGTCCCTTCCAGGGCAGCATTTCTCATCCCCGGCTGCTTGCCAGAATCTTCTGGACGCTTTCGAATGATGCCCTCCGGACCACGCCAGGCCGCTGAACTCAGCCCTGCGCCGGTCTTCTTTGAGGCACCCGGTCCCTAACGCCGGCGATTCCGGCTGCCGCGTCCCCATTGCTCCGGCGGGGACGACGAGGCGTCGCGGGGCGGGGATTTGCTCCCCAGCAAAAGATCCTTTACCCCTCTCCCCCCGCAGTGTACCACTGGTTGGAGATGCGGGCCAAGATGCGCCTCTTGGGCTTCAATGCGGAAGCCGTCAAGCCGCTGAACGAGGACGCGGCCGCCGAGCTGGGCGCCGAGCTGCTGGGCGAGGCCACCATCTTCCTCGTGGCCGGCGGCTGCCTGGTGCTGGAGTACTGGCGCCACCAGGCGCACCACGGTCGCAGGAGGCGAGAGCGGCACGCCGCCTGGGAGGCGATGAGCGACGACGTGGGCCGCCTGGCGCTGGCGCTGGACGCCCTGCAGGCGCAGGTGCGCGCGGCGCCTGCGCAGAGCGCGCTGGAGGAGCTGCAGGCGCAGATGCGAGAGGTGCGCGCCCGGCTCTGCGCCCTGGACCCGCCGTCCGCACCCCAAGCGACGCCCAAGGAATAGAGGGACTGCAGGGGCCCTGGTCTTCGCTGTGGCCCTTGTGTGGGCCGTGACGCCTCTGCCATGGCCTTCTGTCCACACCGTCCACTTATGAACCTGCTCAGCTAATACCACCTGGTCCCTTTAGGGGCGGAAGGGAGGCTGGGCTGGGGCGGATCCAACCGGCTTGTGGTCACCTCCCTACTCACCTGCCCAGAGGCACCCTCCGCAGGGACTCTGTTCCCACAGGAGTCCCTTTGTTCTATCCACACACCCCCACACACACACCCCTAGGGTCAGCGCGCTGGTTTAACACTTCACAATGGAAAGACAGTGTTCCATCGGATCCCACCCACCCAGTCCTACGTGGGCCAGCGGGACACATGGACCTTGCCAACTCATTCTGTCACACCTCACTCAGCAGTGGGCTTTCCGACGGGTCGCTCATCCATTACACCCCCTTCTGCGCTGGTACAGACCATTGTAAAGAAAATGCGAACTCCCAGTGACAGACCCCATCACTTTCCGTCTTCCTCACTTTAGAGGGGACAGAGACGGATGGATCTTGGAGTGCCTCAGGTCCAGTGAGTCACCCTGTGGCTCCTGCCTTCCGTCCACCATCCATTGGTACCTCAGTAGGTCATCGCCTCAAGCGGTTCGCTCCAGCAGATACCCCCACTTTAGTCTGCGGCATAAGCATGGGAAAGGCGGTGCAGGGTCTCCCCAGCATCTGTGGTCAGTTCCAACACGACTGTCCTCCGGGACAGAAATAATTGGTCCTGCCTAGGGATGAACCATTCTGTTTGGGTCTCAAGCGTTGTTTTACCTGAAGTTCCGGGCCTTCTGTGGTCCTTTTCCACTGTCGTTCCCTGCTAGCTTTTCCTAGAGACCCACCCAGTCCCTTGCTACGTGGGTCACTTGTCACACACCCCCATCTCTCATCCGAGCCTGCTCTCAAGTACTCAGGGATCCCTGTTCCTTCTTGCCTCTGGACAGATGGCCCAGCCCACCCTCACCCTCCTTCACGGAGCGGTCTCACTCCTGCTCAGCCCTGAAGCCCCCCACCCCCACCCAAATGAAATATTCCAACCAAGCTACCCCACCTACCCGCTGCCAACCCACTGAACCACCCAAGGGGGTGGGCGTGAGCTCTGTGACTTCGTTAAGACTGCGAATATTTTATGATTAAAGGAGTTCTGGGGTAAAGAAGTCATCTTTAAGAATGTGTCAGAGAACCATGACGTACATCTGCAAAATGGGCAGAAGGTTCATGGAAATTAGGAGAGAAGCTGGAAGGATTCCTATAGGAAGGGCGGAGTCATCCTGTAAGCCCTTTCCCAGATGGGGAAACTGAGGCCCAGGGGGAATAAAGGGACTTGCCCGACGCCACACAGTCAGTGAGGGGCCGTCCTTAGCTTTCTCTAGGGTGCGGACTTGTTTGGAGCAAAGGGGAAAGGAATAAGGAGGCTGCCCAGAAGAGGCTTGGGGAGAGAGGCCAAGAGGGTGTGGAGACCACCCGGGCCGCAGGAGCCTGTGGGAACCGGAAGGGGTGCAGGGTGAGAAGGAGGAAGAGGAGGGAAGGCAGATTACTGGGGGAGGGGCGCATCCTCATCCTCATCAGAGCGGCCCTTCAAATCACTCCAGAAACCTTAGCATTTATAAAAACTGGCAGATTTATTCCATAGGGGCCCATTTTCAAGAAGCTAAAGGTGAAGGCGGGAGAGGGGAGGTTCCCTCCCCTTTTCCTTTCTCCCTCATCTTATTTTCCCCAGGGGGTAAAAATGGCCTAGACCCCAAAACCTACCCAAATAAAAAACCAAAAAAACAAAACAAAAAATTGAGGTTCCAAAAAGTTACAGCATCTTAATTCCTCATAGAAAAGGGGAAGGGGCCAAAGGGAAGGGAGCTCCCCGGGGTAGCGGTGGGGGGGGGGGAGGTGCCCCCAGCCTGGTGGGACATTCCCCCCCCCTTAAATAGCTGCCCCAAATGGGACAAGCCTGGGGCATAGCATTTAAAAACTCCCCATACCCCATTTTATCAAAATCAAAGAGAAAAAAAAATTTCCCTTCCCCCCCAAAAACCTAAATATATATATATATTTTTTTCTTAAAAAAACAAAAATTTGAAGGCATTAAGCGTTTAAAGTGAATCTAGAACAAGGGAATGTGAGATTCCCTCCTTCCTCCCCCCTTACTGCGGGGTTAATTGGTACATCCCCAGCGGAGGAACCAGCCCCAAGGAGATGGCCCAGGGGAAGGACCAAAGGGAGCAAAGGGTGGGGCCTCCCCAGCCAATCAGCAGCCAGTATGGGTGTGGGCCCGGTGCCAAGGAAGCCACACCCCCTTGGAATTTTCCAAGTAGGATGGGGAGCAGGGAGGATGCATTCCTGTGTAGTCTTCAGCCAACTCTTAAGTCAAGTAGAGGCAGGGAAAGCAGGGTGACAGGCGGGGTGTGCCGAAAGGAGATACGGGGATCTTGGGGGGCCCGGTGGTCAGGGGGAACCCCGCTTCCTCAGCTCCTGGACAAACGCTGGAAGGAAACAAGGGGCAGAGGTCAAGGGTGGAGCCTCTTCCCCCTTCCCTTCCAAAAGGGGGCTCTCTGCAGAGAGATGCCTCCAAAATAGATATTTAAAATTAAAAAACCAAACCAAACCAAAACCTCACCTTCAATGATTTCCTCTTTCACTTTCTGCAGTTCCTTCCTCACCTCTTCCAGCAGCTCCTGGAAATAATGGGGTGTAACCGATCAGGAAGGGTACCTGGACTTGCAGAAATGAATCGTCTCTTTCTTAACGACTTAAAGGGCCAGAGGAAGAAGGTTCAAGGACCACCCCCTCCCCCACCATACACAATGACATCACTGAGAAGGCCATAGAGCAACTGGAGAATTCTAGGGGAAAATTCTGGATCCTTGGAGCCAGATGAAAAGTACTGGAGAACATCCAGTACCAGGGTTGGCAAATACATTCCAGTCTCCTGCCAACTGCAGCGGGTGATGGATGGCTGGGGCTAGTGTGCTGGAAAGGATTCTGGGTACTCCTCAGGAAGGAGTGCTGTGATAGATTAGTAAGGTCTGTCCGGGCACTGGAAAAGGGGGCTGTGGTTTCAGTGTCATCCCCAACCTGACTGAATCGCTCCATTTCTCAGATTGGAAAACTGAGGTTTTGGAGGCTTTTATCACAGAATCACAGGGCAGGGCAGCAGCAGCGTTTGGACCCAGATCTCCTGCCTTCCTGTGGCCCCTTTCCAGTCCCCCAATTCTCCCGGCCCCTCCCCCTGAGCTACCTGTTTCACTCTCTCTAGGTCTGACTCATCACTGGAGCTGGGCGTAGAGGGGTGGGCCTCGGAAGTGGTCACGGAAGAAGAGGACTTCATCCTAGGCGAGTCGGGGTGGTTTGGAATAGAAATGAGGTTAGACAGAGGGTCCGCCGCCCCTGCTTCCCATTCCAAGGGTCACACGGTGTTCCTTCCTACAAATCTGGCAAATCCAAGTGTTGGGGGGGGGGGACGGAGCCCCAGCATTGATGGCCCACCTTGGCAAGGTTGTGCTGTTCTTCTCCCAGGGTCTCCGCACAGATTCTGGGGGATACATAACGAATCAGGAAGATCAGGGACAACGAATGTCCTGCCTCAATCTCCACCCCCTAGATGGCCCTGTTCAAAGAACCGTCTCAGGGGACTCCAATCCTCAGCATTGTTGGCACAGACTCCCCCATGGGGGGGGGGCGGGAGGGGGGGGTTCCAGGTTAAGAACAGGGCATCCTGACACACAGCTCCAGTGGCCAGACCAGGGCTCACTCACCACTATGGGCTGGGACTCTGGCCTCTGGCTCCTCCTGCTGGTGGGAAATAAAACTGTCGTGAGACGGCCGGGCGGGTTCCCCTCTCCAGCTGCAAACCCCGCCCACTCCTAGCACCCGCCGCCCCCCCTCCCCGAATGGTACAGCCTAAGGCGCACGTGGCAGGAAGAGCCCCTAACTCACATTGGCAGATTCGTCCTTGGGGGCTTTCTCCCCAACTTGTGTGGCTTTCCTTCTGCAGGAGGGACAGGCAGAAACAGATGGCTTCAGCCCTCCCTCAGCCCCTCGGGAATTCTTACCAGAGTTCGAGAAAGGGGGATTCTAAGGTGGAGAGTTCTGGAATTCTCGAAGGCTAAGACAGCTTGAGTCTTAGAAGGCAAAGAGAGCGCTGGTCTCCAGCTGGAGTGCGGGCCTTACTGTCTCCCATCTGGCAACCACAGGCTGCTAAGGGGATCCCTGCCTTGCTGCTGGGATATTCTGGGAATCTCAGTTTCCAAGGTTCCCAGTCACCATCTCCTAAGGGGAGATCTCCTGAGGTTCTAGAATTCTGGGTTTTAGAACTTTCTAGAGGCTGCCTGGGGGGCTGCAAACCTCAGGCGTCTCAGGAGAATGGAATCTCCAGCATGAGATCCCAAACCTGGCGAGCGGAGACGGAAACTTCCACCCAAAGAAACCAGCGCATCAGGAATCCGAGCCCTCCCCCAGGGAGGGCTGGACTGGAATCTCCAGGTGCTGACTGCGGGTCTCTGGGATTTCTTCCAGAGCTTTCCAAGGCACTGCCTGCCCCAGGCTCAGGCTCACCTCCGGGCCAGCATGGCGTTCATCTCTTCCATCAGCCCCCCGCCCGTGCTTCGGCTGCTCTCTGGTTTGGGGGCTGAGGGCCCCCCCGAGGCCTCCTCCTGCTGGAGAAATTACAAAGAGAAGGGGGCTTTATGTGGCGGCCTCTTGGCCGGCCCCCACCAGCCTTCCTGTGACCCCCCCCCCCGTCCCCCACAACTCTGGCCTCATTCTATTATTCCACGGGGCTCCCTCCTCACCTTGCTGACTTTCCTGAGTTTGGCTCCGGCAATGGCTGCCGCAAGGCCGGGGGCCCCGGTTCCGCCGCCACTGGGGCCTTGTGCTGAGGGCAGAGGGGGCGCAGGGGGTGGGCCTCCCCCTGCTCCGTGCCCTGCGGCCGAGGCCCCTAAGGGGGGCGCCCCAGGAGGTGGGGGGGGACCCGGAGGAGGGGGAGGTCCTGGAGGGGGGGGCGGTCCCCCAGCTGGAGGAGCAGGTGGGCCTCCTGAAAGAAACACACAAAAAGAGGGTGCTGAGAGCGAAGCCCGACTCCTTGCTGTCCAAGCTGGCCCGCCCCCTCCTCTGGGGAGCCCCACCTCCAAGTGTCCCCCCCAGGCCACTGATCGCTCACCTGCATTGGAGACCCGGCGCTCCAGGTGCTCCGCGGGGCCCGGCGGCTGCCTGAGAAGATAGAGCTGCTGTCACTCGGGGTCCCCAGGATGGCCAGCCACCTCCCGCGTTTCTCTCAGGTCTCCAGGGAGGCCGCCAGCCCCCACCCACGCCCTCCTCCTTCAGGGGCCCAGGAAAGTTGGGGGGAGGGCAGGGCCAGAGAGACCAACATGTGAGCCTTCTAGCCATCAAACTGTCAAGAACGTTTAGATTACAAAATGCTCAAGAGCTTTTAAACAGCCGGCTTCTGGACTCTGGGAACGTGGGGACCAGGATTTGACGGGTCAGAAGGCGCTGCAACTCTGGGTGTGGGAACTTCTCGAACTCTCCAGGAAGTGGGGGTTTTCTGAAAGCCCTACGTTCCTACCCCCCTACTTCTCACCGCCCCCCCCCCCCCCGGAGTAGGAACACTCTGGAAACAAAGCTGCAGATTTCTGGGCTCTGGGAGTCAGGGGTTCCAGAACATGCTAGAACTCTGGCGCTGGGAACGTTCCCCACCCAGGGGCTGGCCCCACCTTTTCTGCTGTTCCACTTCCTCCGGGGCAGGACCATTCTGGACAGACCAGGCGGAAGGTGCCGCTGGTGGCGGCGGGGGCGGAGGCCCCCCTCCTGGAAGGTGAGAGTAGACGAGGGTGGTGAGTCAACCCTGGACGCCCGCCCCGCCCGGGCCGCGCTCTCCCTCTGCGAGCCCAGGAATCGGCCCAGAGGCGCTGGCTTCCGCCCTCCTCCAGGACCCTGACCCTCGGGCGGGCTCGGGGGTGGCACGGAGGTCCCCACCGGCCTCCCTTGACAGAGTTGACAGCAGCTGGGTGGTGTGACGATGCCCAGCGAGGGCAGCGATGCCCGTGGGCCCGTCCCCTGCCCCCTGTGTCGCAGACCGGAACGTGCACGGGCGACACCAACGGCGGCTGATACCCAGCATCCGGGTTCTTGACCACCGTCACGGCCACTCTGACCACAGCCCAAGAGTGTCTTTCC